AAAAAACATTAAAATTATAAATATATCTAAAACACATAAAACATCCAAAATTTAAAACAATACTAAAAAAAGGAAGATCCGAGAAGATGGGAAATTAGGCTGCGGAGAGCTGGCCACTACGGGGGTAGCCATCCCCTTGCTTGAAGTATTCCCTCCCCACCCCAGACCAAGTGGCAGAACCAGGTCTTCAAGGCCCTTTGGAAGGCCGGGAGTGAGGGGGCCAATCGCACCTCCGGGGGCAGAATATTCCAAAGAGCGGGGGCTACCACAGAGAAGGCCCGCCTTCTGGACCCCGCTAGATGGAATTCTTTTACTGAGGGGGTCCGAAGCATGCCCTTTCTGTGTGATCGGGTGGGATGGGTTGAAGACATAGGGGAGAGGCGGTCCCTTATGTAACCTGGTCCCATGCCACGTAGGGCTTTAAAGGTAATAACCAACACCTTGAATTGGACCCAGCAACAAACTGGTACCCATTGCAGCTTGCGGAACAACGGTGTTATATGGGCCCTTCTTGGGGCTCCAAGAATAGCCCGTGCAGCTGCATTCTGGACCAGCTGTAGCTTCCGGATAGTCTTCAAGGGTAGCCCTATGTAGAGCGCATTGCAGTAGTCTATCTGGGAGATAACAAGGGCATGAGTGACTGCTCGAAGGGCATCCCGATCCAGGAAAGGGTGTCATCTCATCTTCTGGTGCTTACTTTATTTAATGGCACAGCTACATCTACCTACTTCAACCCTAAGTCCAACTACTCTCCAGAGACAAAGAAGTTGCTTTCCCTCTCCCACCCAGTTATCACTCCCATGTTAAACCCTTTTATCTCTAGTTTGAGAAACAAGATCAAAGGTACAGTGAAGATGACATTACATCAGAGAATATTTGCCCAGAAGAAAATAAAACCTATTGGGCCATTGTCACAGAACTAGATACCAAAACAATGAAATATTAGCATTTGTAAAGTGCCTTTAGCATACCCATTTTATTGTTTACCCCATTTTCTAATTATTTTGAAAAGAAAAAAATGAAAAAATTAGTTAGCTATTTAGAAAGTTAGGTGTGAAAACTGAAGCACAAAGATTTATCTTTATGTAATTCGTTTTCTGCTCTTATTTTTTTCTCCCTGAAAGATTTTCTTGCAAATATAACTGGCTTGGTTTTCTTTTGTTGTAAATTATCCCTTAGGGCTCAAATTATTGCAATATTTAAATTATATTAATGAGACAAAGAACTGTTTCACACATGCTCTGAACTACTCATCAACATCAGAGGTAGCATATATAGCCATACTGGTTGGACTGTGAAAATTGGAGTTTGATGATATTCAGAGCACTAATATTTGTTCTTGTTCTATGTAAAGTTGGAACCCTAAAATTGTTTTGAATATTTTATTACAAAACAATTTTTGAATGTTGCTGAAGATTCAAAAATTGACTAATGGCACATATCTTTGTGCTCTTTCAAGAAGTATACATTTGTTTAACAAACCGAACCAAATGGTTAGTTAATTTTTAAATTATTTTTTATGTATTTGCAACTGCTGCTACTATTTGTTTAGGATGTTTATTACACTCTGCCTACTACTTCTCAACTCAATTTAAACAATGCATTTATGACACGATAAAACAGTTGTAAATTACTAAAAAATGAACAAAGATATGTACAAGTTCTTTTCTCTATTAACGTTGCAAGAAGATGCTGCTTTATTTCAACCAATCTCAATCAAAATAAGCTTAGCTGAGAAACTTTTGCAAAAGAAATAAGATCATTATCTCTCACGGAAGTCATTTATTTATTTATTTATTTATTTATTTATTTATTTA